GAGTCGATCTGTCATGGTCAACATGGCGAGGGCGGGTCCCGGAGGAAAGGGATCCCGCCCAGGTCTTCCAATCGTTCTCTGCCTGCCAGGGCCCTCCCATCAGAAAACAGCCCAGAGGATCGAAATCCTCCATTTCGGAGGAAACCGCAGTTTGGAAGACATCCGCCTGCACAACCGAGAATGAAATTAGCGCGACCCCAATTAGGAGAAAGCTTCCTATTGCATGCTTGGCATTGCTTGGCATTGCTTGGAACGGGCACAGTAAGAATACGAGGCACCAGGGGCGGGGAACCTGGGGAACCGGGGGATTCCGAAGTACCTGGGGAACCCGGGGAACCCGAGGAACCTCCGAGCAACGGGCAAAGTGGCCCCCCGAGGCACCATTCTTCTTTACCAAGTAAGAACATGGGGGTCGAATCTCAATTGCAGAGGTTGTCTGGCCCTCTGGAGAGGAGCCGTTTCTCTCCAGGACCCGCTTCCCTCGTGGCAGCGCTCACTCCGCCTCCCCTCTGGTCCTTTCCTCCGTTCGGGGACCGCTAGACTCCACTGGCAGAGGAATTGCAGCATTTTGGCCTAAAAAAAGCTCCCCTGGAAAAAATTGCCGCGCCGGTAAGGCAGGCATCGGTTGTCGGGGGGAGTCGCCGCGATCAATCGTGCGGGGGGTGTCACCCTTGTAAGCCCGTCGATGACATGGGCGTCTCTCTGCTTCCAAGCGTCATCGTCAACTTCGTCGCATCGTCGCCGCGGTCTCATCGTGGCGTGGAATGATAACGCGGCGCAGGCAATCGCGCCCGCCACGTTCGGACGAGCGATTGGAGCGAATGTGGCCCGCACATGAGGTGCGCGACGACCCCGTGAAAATTGTTGACCCTGCGCGCGCTCCCACCAGCCCGTCCAGAAACGATCCCCGCGCGAGTTGCCCTGGCCAGGGAAACGCAGCGGCATGTAGTCTACTAGTACATCAGCCACATAGGAGGCAGAGGCGGAGGAGGATGGCGAGCAGGAAAAAGAGGAAGTAGTGACGAACACAGCCCATCCAGGAACGATTCCCAGGGGAGTCATCTGGAAGAGGGGCGTTGGTGAGAACAGAGTGAAACAAGGAGGCGAATTGCGGTGAGGTTTCGCACCAGGGAGCTTTTTGGAGCCATTTTGGGGCAATTTTGGAAGCTTTTGGGGCTCCCATTGGGACCCTCATGGGGCCCTCTTGGGGCTCTCTCAGGGCATTTTTCGGGGCCTTGAAAACCCTCTTTGGGCCGCCTTGGAGGCCATCGATAAAAAAGAGGGGTTCTTGATGTTAGCGCCCCCGTCGGGAGCTGAAAAATCGCCTCCTGGGGCCCTCTTGGGGTGCTCTTCAGGCGCTGTCGGGCGCTCCTGGGGCTGGTCTTGGAGCCCACTTAGTCTCCTCCTGAGGCTCTTGCGATCTTGGAGCTATCTTACGCTCCGGAGCTGATCGGAAGCGACACGACGGAAAAACCGACACCATCGGTTCTTTTCAGTTCTAGAGGGATGTTTTACCTTTCGGACGCGTTCTTGGAAGGTTTCGTGGCAACTTGGAGCTGTCTTGAGGTGGTATTGAGGCCTCTTCGAGGCACGTGGGAGGCGATCTTAAAACACATTCGGGTATATTGTGCTATCTTGGGAGCCATCTCTTCTGAAGCCCTTTTGTAAGCCCTCCACCGTTGACCCCCCTGGCAACGTGCCGCGAGGGACATCAAGCCATTGCATAAAATTCGCATTTCTTGGGCGGCGCCTCCGGTGCACGCTGGTGCTGGTAAATCTGGCGCATTTGGTGTACACTGGCTTTTCGCCTGAAGCATCCTCAAAGCTTCTTCCCAGTGTGCACCGCGTGCGCGCCGGGGGGGCGTCCCAGTGTACACCCAAGGGTGGGCCTCTACGCCGCCTTCCTTCCTATCTCCCCCTTCTCTCCCCCTCCCTGTCCCCCTCTCCCCCTGCTAACCCCCCTTCGGCGCCCTCCTGAGACCTGGGATGGCTCCCCCCTCGGCCCCCTACTGAGATTTAAGCCAGGGCGCGGCGCGCCAGGCTCACGAGGGACGTGGTGCGTGCTGGCGAGCATCGCCTCTGCATGGGCTCCGATTTCTGGACGCTTCCCGTATCCCCACCAGGTGGCTCCAACCAATGGCATGGCTGGCAGGGCTGGTCAACATGGGACCAAGGCGACCCCCCTTGGACTGACACCGAATGGAAAGGGGGAGGCAAGCGCTTCCCCCAGCGTGACGACCACCGCGACTCCGAAAAGCGAGGCCGCTGGTGGACATAAAGCAACACGGCAGCGGCCAAGCAGCAGACTCCGGCGGGAAAAGTAGCCTGCAAGACTGCAGGCCCACCTCGCCGCTACGGATGCTGGCCTCGGGTTTACCCTACCACCGCCCAGCCCCCCCCCGCGCTCCGCGCGCAATGACTGGCGGCGCAATCGCTCCCCTCGTCATTATGCTGGCCCGATTGGGCCCGTTTCACCTCGTTGCGCCCGGCCTGTCGGCCGTAATACCACGGGGCTGCCTACCGCTGGGGCGGGCTGCCGCCCCACCCCCCCAGGCGCAGCATAGCTAGACAGCCTCAGATGGTTAGATGCGCGTGGGCGACGCACGGACGCCGCAGCCCACCCGCTACAGCTTTCGGGCGCCCTTGCGGGACACGCCCCTCGGCGCCCGACATATCTCACCCCCTTGTGCACCCGACTCGTGACTGTAGAGGCCTCGGCCGCCCTGGCAGCAGCTACTTTGAAGAAGGCAGACGGCCGCCAGCCGCACCCCTGGCTGCTCCTCCCGAAAGGAACCGACGAGACCGACACTCCCCCCCTGCCAGGAAACAGGCGCGGGTAGGGTCCAGCACTGGTCCAAAGGCTGACCACGCCGTCGGCGCCTGGCGGGAACCAGACTGATCCCGGCAGTCGGGCGGCCGCGTGGCAGGAGCGGGACAGCTCCTCGGCGTTGCAGGCGTGCCCAATGGCAAGGGCGAAACGCGACAGCCTCCGTGAGACAGCCTCCGTGAGACGTCCTCCTCTCATAGCAGCAGCTGCTGCCCCCTGGTTTATATCATCTCTGAGCAGCCGTTAGCTGCACCCTTGGTAACCTGGGCACACTTGCAGGTACAGTGATGCCAGTGATGCCGGCAGGCCGCCGACACAGGGACCAGCAGGTCGACAGTAGACAGTGCTACCTTGCGGGAAGCTCTGCTCATACTTCGCCCTA